CCACTACGATATGCAATCCGGGGTTTCAAACCCTCAAGACATCATTTACAACCATTACTCACCTCGAACCAGCTAATTCTCTAGCTCGCGACACCTTTGCCCCTCGAATTGGCCTCCACATGCGTCGAATCTATCCAAAATCAAAACGAATACATCACAATATACTAAGGGAACAAAGCCCAAGCGAAAACAATCGAATTACCACAAAATTCCAGAAATTGGTCAAAACTGACCCCGGGGCCCACATCTCGGAATTTGACAAAATTCACAAAACTAGAATCTTTATACTCTCACAAGTCTATCCATACAAAAATTATCCAATTCCGATTCCATTTGTTCTTTCAAATCGTCATTTTATATTTTTGAAAGATTTCACAATTTTCTTCCCAAATTCCATCCCAAATCACGAATTAAATGATGAATTCAATGATACATTCATGTACTCTAGCTAAATCTGAGTTAGAATCACTTACCCCGATGAATTTCTTGAAGAACCTTCAAAAAATTGCCAAAATCCGAACTCTCTAGGTCAAAATTTCAAATAAAACCCAAACCCTCATATTTATAGAGTGCCCCACAGATTTCCACCTCCGCGGGCCACACAAAATTGACCGCGGTCCGCACAAAACCAGTGCGGTCCGCACAAAAACGACCGCGGCCGCACAAGCTTCCCTCTTCAGTGATAGGCTTTAGTATTTTTGCGATAACTTTCTCTACTGATGTCCATATTGCAATACCTTTACCTTTCTAGAAACTAGACATGAAGTACTACAACTTTCGTGTTTGAATCATCTCAAAATTCCTTATAGATCAAAAGATATGAGCTTCCGAAGTAGAACCAGCGGAATGTTCTTTACCGCGGCCGCACACCATTTTGTGCAGTCTGCACAACACCTGCCGCGGCCGCACTTCATTTTGTGCGGTCCGGACAGCACATACCGCGGCCAGACTTCTTTTTTTGTGGACCGCGCGGGTGTGTTCCGAAGCCTGCAACTCTTCTGGACCTGCTACAGCTATGATTTTTGGCATAAAATATCCCAGAACCTACCCGAAACTCTCAGAACTTCAAACCAACTGTACCAACACCTCCCATGACATCATTCAAACTTGTTCAAAACTTCGGAACGCTCACAACAGCATCAAATCACCAATTTAACATAGGATTCAAGCCTAAGAACTCCAAGAACTCTTAAATTATGCTTTCGATTAAAAAGTCTATTAAATCTCGTTCGAATGACCTGAAATTTTGCACACACATCCCAAATGACACAACGAAACTACTACAACTCTCGGAATTCTATTCTGAACCGTATATCAAAATCTCACCTATCAAACGGAAAGTGCCGAAATCTTAATTTCGCCAATCCAAGCCTAAAGCTTCCACAGACTTCCAAAATGCATTCCAATCACGCTCCTAAATCCCAAATCACATAACGGAGCTAACCAAATCATAAAATTTCAATCCGAGATCATATACAAACAAGTCAAATATTGGTCAAACCTTTCAAATTTTAAGCTTTCCACTGAGACTGTTCTTCCAAATTAAATTCTGATTAACCAAAACCGAACACCAACGATTTACATAAGTCATATTGCATCACACGGGGCAAGTCAACCTCGAGAACTGGCGAGCGAAATGCAAAAGCTCAAAACGACCGGTCGGGTCGTTACAACAAATCATTGCCTTATGTTTGCAAAGTTTGATATATACATTTTGGCTTTATTTTCTGCCTATTTTAATGTTTGAGTTTTTGTTTCACCCTTTAACTTTGTATTAAAAATGCTTCAATGCTCCGTGACTTTTTTGAATAAGCACGAATTATAAAAGAGGGCCCTTTTATGAACGACACTTAATGAAGAAGACATCTCAACTTCATAATGGTGTAAATATACAAAAGAGAGATAGGAATTTTCACATGTTTTTCTTTAACAATGTTTTGAAGAAAGTTTTTACATTTAACTTTCATAACATTTCACATGTGTTTGTGTATCTACTATAACTCATTTTGCAACTGTTTTTTCTTTTAACAGATTCGATATAAGCTTGCACTCGTAATTGTTTTTCTTTTGCAACAGTTTTTTTAATTAGTACAAGGAGATAACTATTTTTGTTTACAACAGTTTAATTATAAGGGTATGAATTTTTACCCATAACTATTTTTATTGATAACAGTTTTCAAATGAATACAAGGGTAATGCTTTTTCATCTGTAACTGTTTTCAGTTACAACAGTTTTTGAGTAAGTACAAAGATGTGCATTTTTACCTGTAACTAATATTCTACCTTTAACCATTTTTGAAACATTCGTTTATATTTATGAATATGTTTTCAAAGGTTTTCGAGTCAGGCTTGTAGTTTTGGCTCGTGACTTTGCTTTTAACTTTCGATTTGTTGGGTAGACCTTAGGCTTGACTTGAATTTTGAATTTTCAAGTTTTCTTTGCCTTCCATATATATAGTCCCCAAGTGTTAGAGCTTTGAAGTATGAAATCTCGAGCATTTAATTATTCCTTCCACGTGGTCCATTTCCTGAAAAGAAAAAACATACGGGACTAGGAGGTATATATTTAGATGATGACTGCTTAACCCCCCCTTTTTTTACCAAAAGGGTTGTAACCTAGACCGGGATTAATAAAGTGTTCCTCGTGTCTTTCGGGTCTAATATCATCATTTGTTCTTGACACTTTAGAAAATTATTTGAGTGCTCATACTTAGTCTTTTAGACTTAAAATATATATTTGGATGCATCGTTACATGTGCGATGTCTTAATGTTGCACCTTTGGGTGTCTAACTTTTATATAAAAGAGGGCTCTTTTATATACTTTAAACGCTATGAAGAGGACGTCTCCTTTTCATTCAGGCGTAAAATAAGATCAATTGATTCAAGTAGACTTTTAGTCTGAGGGAATATTAATCCCGGTAGGATTTACAAGAGTATTGACCCCATTAAAATTTATGGGAGTATTGACCCCAGTAAGACATTGAGTTTGAGGGAGTATTGATCCCAAATAAATATATATCTTAGTAGATTTGTCCTGAAGAGACATTTAATCTGATTGGATTTTGAATCTAAATTGGAGTATATGAACATACTTCCAAATAGAGAGGGGCACATGTCCGAAATAATATTTGAGATTTACGGAATAATCGATCTGAGTCATAATACAATTAGCCATTAATAAAGGCTTAGATATTTAGCTTGAATGGTCTTTGTTGGACCGAATATAAATCGCATGTTTATTCAAAATGAACTTTATTCTAGTGGCTTATTTGAATACATTTATCTTGACTTAGATGTAACACTCTCGTTTTTTATCGTGGGATTCTTGACTCTGACATGGAGTTCTTGATCCTTTTTGTGTACGTGTAGTATATGTATTTTTGAAGAACTCATTCAACACTGTTTGAAGTGTTTATGCTTGATATGAGTAATACAACTAACTAAGTTGAGCTGGTAAATAATGTCAGGTCAAATTGACTAATCTTCAAGTATGAGTAATCTCCCTAGTGTTTGAGTTTTGAGGTATGAGAACTCAAACACTGGGATCATAATTTGACAATCCGCGGTCTAATAGTCCCCGGTATGATAGTTAATTTCGATATTGATGGACTTTCAGATGGTCCAGTTCCAACATAGGGACGGTACCGAAGCTCTTTTTATCAAATATTTTGTACTCTAGCCGGGAACTACGGAGGTTCCAAAATGTTGTCGAGGATCATGCCATATCTTGATTTGAGCTATTCATATTGACTTTAATGAGTTTTTGATTTGAAGCCTTATTACCGGAGTAATTTTCACTGCTTTCTTTATAAATTTCTCGCATCATATATTTTGTTTGTTTGGTCCATGTTTCATATTAGCTTTTGGAGCCTTGAATATTCTCAAATATAATTCTCCTCCAACAAGGCACGGGATGAGACGCACTCAATGTTATCGAGAGCATGCTTATCTTTGGGTAAAGTCCTATTCTGCAAGTAATATAAATGAATTTATTATGCCAATTCCAAATTAAATTAGTCAGGCTTACCTCATTTTCATTCTAATTGATGATAGATCAGGAATCGCCTAAATAAGAGATGGCTCGATCCCAAGACTGTTTGATCCGAAAACGATATTTCTCAATAAGTGCCCGGAGTTGCTTTCTAAGTCAGTGATATCAGCAGTAGATCTGAGACTAACACATCCGGCTCGATTTTCTTGGGCTGCATAGTTTTCTTGGATTTGATCAATCGTTAAATCAATATTTTTGCTCTGAGTCCCAAACTAATTTAAGCCCTGTAGCATATGCTTCATACTCGACTTTGTTGTTAGTGATAAAATAACTTTTATGAATTATCTAACTACTTTCCCTAATAGGTATTAAGCATTGCCCCTAACTCGGGAGGTTTAGTACTTGTGGACCTAATTGTGTAGAAGGTCCAGATCCCGAGAATTATCCCAGAAATAACATGTTCGGGTAATATGTTCGAGCTAAGATTAATCATGAAATCTGCTAAATTTGTGATTTTATAGTCGTACGTGGCTGATAAACAATATCATATTCACTTAGTTGGACTACTCATTTAGCTAGCCTTCCTGACAGTTCATGTTTATGCAAAATATTGCGTAATGAAAATATAGTGACTAAGGGAATTGAATGACATTGAAATAAAGCCTTAGATTTAGGGCAACTACAATTAATGCCAACTTATCAAAATATGGATATGTAGTTTCCGTATCTAAAAGCATTTTATAATAGATAGGAGAATGTGTACCTTTATCTTCTTGAATTAAAATTGCAATTACCGAGACATCCGAGATAATTTGGTGTACCGACAATCATCTTTCTCCTCGAAATTTTGAAAGTAATGATGCGTTGTTGTTAGATAGCAAGTTCGAATGATTCGACTTTTCGGACTAAACTGATCTTTTGAAGATCTGTAACTTATCTTTTATGATTTGACTCTAGTTTCTTCTTTTGCTTGGCCGGATTATACCGCGGGTCAATATTGAGCATATAAACCTTTTCCTCCAGTGGTACACCTGCTATGTTAGCATGGAGGCAAGCAAAGCAATTTTTGTTAGCATGTAAAAGTTTAATCACCTTACCTTTAAATTCGGTGTCGAGTCTCGACCAACGTAAACCTTCCTATTTGGGAAGTCAATGATAATTTCTAGTTCTTCAGCATTTGACCTCGTGGCTTTTGATGCCTTCGGTTCAATGATTGCTTCCGAAAATGTTTGTATAATTGTCCAAGGTTATTAATGAACCTTCTTTCCTCGTGTCTATTCCATCCTGCAGCTATCTCTTCTTTTTCAGTTGTTAGGTGTGGTATCTTTGTAAGCAATCTCATGGGTGTTTTACCCATGTTCTTCTTAATCTTCATTCTTCTCCTGTGATATTTTATAATTTAGCAAGGTAATTCCTTGCCTGTTCGGGTAGAGCTGGATCTTTTCCAGCCCGTGAAGAAAATCTCGTATCTCTTTGCTCGGACCTGTTTTTTTAGATTTTTGCATTTAGATTCGAATCACCCAAGAATCACATCCACTTGATCTCTGGACCTGTTTTTGACTTTCAATTGAATGAACGTGTCTTCCTCTATTCGAAGCTTTGTATTATATCGAATGTAAATTTTACTCCTCAGTTCCGGGAAGGTCTGGCATTATTCTTCTTCAATCGGATCGGGGATCAGCTCGGTTTGGTTTTCGAACCTGTTTTTGAACATCTTATTAGTGTCGATTCGACTTACCGTGTCTTCTTCTGTTTAAATTCCGGTGCTGCAACAGTTATGCATATCATTCTCGTAGGATAGATAGGAATTTCCGGAGGTGTTCTATCCGCTCGTTCTGTTCCTTGATCTGTTTTTGTAAGGTTAGAACTAAATTTTGAAAATTAAAATTACCTGGCATATCTGAACCTCCTGCTCTAGAACCGTTTCGTATAGATCCATTATAATCAGTTCTGGTACTGATAGTTGCGGTACAAATATATCGATGTACATTCTCCATTCTTCTCTGCTTGTTGCTTACATATCATTATCATGGCTATTCTTCCTTTTTTATTTTACATGGTAAAGCCATCTCCAAATTGGTTGTCCTCAACTTTGTTGATTGGTAAATTTTGGCCATGATGAAGGTTTAAACTGAAAACAAGCGAATATTAACAAAAATTGTTGCTATATTTGGATGAATAACAAATTTTCTTGAGTTCTCGGTAACGGAACCAAACTATTTAACCTAAAAATGATTTTCAAGGTCAAAACAATAATTTTATATGACGGGCCACAAGCAACCGATTCAATCCGAAAGATATAAAATTTCATTAATACAACGTGATAGAGAAGTGAAAAATAAATTCAATGACAGATAATATAATAAAAATAAAGCAGAGAAGAAAGAGTTCTTATTGAATGATCCTTGATAGGATAATGAGCCGAATAGAGCTTGAAAGGCCGAATTATGGCTAACTTGAGAGCAATATGCTATAAATTACAATGTATAGAATTATAGAGAAGAAAATTAGATTCCCCTAATGGTGGTAAAAGTATGTTTATTTATAGGGCTAACTCTAAGTAACTAGTCTCCTTGAATTATGGGTCCATTATGAGCATTTACTCAATCCATCCATTACTTTTGGAAGACTTATAACAGCTGTGTAAATGCTGGAATTCCGTAACTGATGAGTTAATTCTATAACTGATAAGTTAATTCCGTAATTAATGAGTCAATCTCGTGCCTGTTGAGTCAATCTCGTGCCTGTTCTGGCCTATTTTATGATGATCAGTTCCGGGCTAAAAGGCATGTTATGAGTATGTTCGGTCCCGGGGGTATTTCAAATATCATCTTTACATGTCATTCTTCACTTTTCTTCAAACTTTACTGACACGTGTCGTCATTTAATAGACCCACATGACGAGTCTAATTTTTACTAATACAAGTTCATTTTTACGTGTACTAAAGAATAGTAGTTCATTAGATGTTATTTATATACAAAAGAAAAAGTAGACAAAAATTTTTAAAGTAAAAATAAAAATCAAATAAAATGCATATGCAATGATGAAGCATCATTAGAATATGTCAATAAACAAATGAAAGACAAATAAAGAAGATAAAACCTTAGACTCCCAAAAGTAAAGCTACATTCTAAAAAAAATCTCACACCATCATGACAAAAATAAATCAGTTGATTGTGTTGCAAACTTGCAGCAACATTTTGAACCTTATATCATTATCACATTCATTCTACATTTACACATACTGAAGCTTTTCTCCTTTAGTTTTTGTTAGGTAAAAGATATGGAATAAATTTCTTGTGGGTTTTATGACTTGGGGTTTATTCACATCCCATTGGCAGATTTGAATTGTGCACTGTTGCACTCGTTAAACTTGAATTGTGCATCGTTCCACTCGTTATTTGTGAGTTAGGAGAAAGTTTGTCACACAGCGTCAATCTGGAGTATTTACTGAATTTCAGGGCAGATTTTGTTGCTCTTGTGAAGGAAAAACTTGAACTTCTCAAAGGAAATCTAGAGTATCTGGAAGGTTTTGTTTCCTTCATACTAGACAACTCTATTCGTGAGTCCAACGACGACATCAATAATTTCTAGGATTATGCCATAGCTGTAATAAAAGAAGCAGTATGTTGTATCTCTTCACTTTGTTTGGCAGAGGATTCGGATGAGGATATGCTTGATTGCATTTGTCTCAACCCTGTAGATCTACTAAAGAGCTATAAACCTTATGTTGAAGCCCTGAAAGCTTTACCCTCACTGCTAAGCTTCAGTTGGGAAATGGATGCCTTTGTAGAGGACTTTGTTTGTTAGGCATGGAATTGGCAGATTTGATTATTTAGTGTTGCTGCCTTTTGCTTAATGCTTAGGCTCTTAGCACTTAGCAGCACGTGACACATGAATATGTATTAATAGTTGTGTATAGTTTATTGAGAAGGGCTTCGGCAGAGAAACTGAATGATAATGTTGTGTATAGTTTGTTGAGATGAATAAGTTGGATTAATAAAAGAATAACGAAAATAGTTAAATGTTTGAGTATTCTTAGACTGGATTCTCTTGAAAGGTAATAACTTTATTTATCCTCTTTTGTAGGTGGAGTAGATCAAGAAATGGATAATGAAGACGATGAAGAACTAGAACTTACTTGAAATGAATTTTAAATTGATATAGATGAATGTTCTAGGAATCTTTTGTTACCAACATTGTTGAACTTATTTACTCTCTTGAAATGTACTAAACTTATGCACTCATGGGGTAGAACATTTACTTTATGGATATTATTTGGTTGATGGATAATTTTGTATTATTAATAGTTTCATTTTATGATGTATTTAAATTTTAGTGTTATTATAATTTATTATATGTATAAATATTTATTTATAACAGGTGCTATATTTTAGTTTTAACTGAACTGATACAATAGCCTACCAGAATCGTTGCAAAAGGACACAAATGGCGTTCTAGTAGACAATGTAAACTGTTGCAATAGGTCCCATAAACTATTCCAAAACGATCTACAAACTGTTCCAAATACAAATATAACTGTTACGATAGCCTAAAGAAACTGTGGCTATATCCAACATAACTGTAGTAATAGCTTACATAAGTGTTGCTTTAAATAATATGGTAATGGTTAAAAATCGTTGTATAAACAATATAGTAATGGTTTAAAACCATTCCAACAGAGAAAGGGAAAACCGTTGCTATAGACGTATCTACTGTTACGGCGATGCAAACGGTTGAAAGAACTGTTCTAGTAGACCTATGGGTACGCCGGTTGAAGTGACGGGCTTTAAACCGTTCCAATATCCCTATGGAAATAGTTTGGTAGTCTGTTGGAATGGTTTTTCAACCGTTATCATAGACCAATTTTTCAGTAGTGAGTAGTATGGGATTTCCCTGATGTGTTTCCAACTAATCTTCCAGGTATGCCATACGATAGAGATATTGATTCTGGCATTGATTTGTTGTCGGGCACTCAGCCCATTTCTATTCCTCCTTATCGTATGGCTCCTCCTGAGTTGAAGGAGTTGAAGGATCAGTTACAGGAATTGCTTGATAAGGGTTTTACTCGGCCTAGTATGTCAACTTGGGTGCTGTTGTCTTGTGTGTGAAGAAAAAGTATGGTTCTATGCGTATGTGCATCGATTATTGCCAGTTGAACAAAGCTACAGTGAAGAACCGGTATCCTTTGCCTCGTATTGATGACCTGTTTGATCAGTTACAAGGTGCCCGAGTGTTTTCTAAGATTGATTTGCATTCAGGCTATCATCAGTTGAAGATTCGGGAGCCAGACATCCCGAATACTGCTTTTAGGACTCGGTATGGTCTTTACGAGTTTCTTATTATGTCATTTGGGTTGACAAATGCCCCAGCAGCATTTATGCATTTGATGCACCATGTATTCCGACCATATCTTGACTCGTTTGTCATTGTCTTTATTATGACATCTTGGTATCCTCCCAGAGTCGGGAGGAACATGAGCAGGACCTAAGGACAATGCTTCAGACTTTGAGAGAAAA